CGAATACATCTACATGAGAAGGAAAGCGGCGTTCGGAGCGCGCAGACAACTTTATTCACAGCCCCCAAAATACGGTTGTGTTTGTGCGTATGTAGTCCGTTTGTGTGTAGGCCGGATAGCAAGCAAAACTAAATTCTAGGCGGAGTAAATCTGATCAAGAAAAACGAGAATGGTGAGGATGGAGTTTGCGTGTATAGAAGAGCGAATTGGCTAAAACTCGACAGATTTACGTAAACTAGGAGCGATCGGATTGACTGCCCAGTCGTCTGGAATGGGATTTCCCGCGAAGCGAGCTTCTTCGCAGAACATTCGTGTTAGCTGAGTAATGGAAATCTTAAACAGCTGATACAAATCCTCGGCTAATTCGGATACAGTCGTATACCTAAGCCCTTTGTGTTTTGAGATGGAGGAGGCTGAATGTGACCGGGAGGATGAAGTGTGGTTTAAGTCATCTGGTTGATCCGAGGTTCGACAAATCACTGTGCTTGTATCGTCACCCTCATCAACTTCATCGGAATCATCTAAATGAATGTCATCCTGCCGAGCCAATTCCAACGCTTCCATTTCTTCTAACAATTCTGTATCCGTGGTGATGGTGCGATCGGTTAAGTTCAACAGGTCCGATTTGGTTGGACGAGATACACTTCGGGTACTTGTGTCTGGTGTGTCTCGACAGACAAACGCTTCACGGAGAAATGCGTTGATAGTTTCCCGGAATCGGTTGCACGCTCGTTGGGCATTCTCGTCCGGTCCGAGGAATCCCCAGGCCAAAGCCGGACTGAATGTCCCAACTAGGGTATAATAATGTGCACAAAATCCATCCGCATATTTTAGAAGTTTTCTCTTAGCCAATAGAATGGTCCATATGGTTGAATCAAGTGCGACCCGCTTGAAATTATCACTGAGCCAACGATGTCGTGTGACGGACAGGACAGAACTAGGTGGATCGGACAATAATTCGAGCGAATCCAGCAACATGTAATCGACCACGACATCGTAGAAATTGATCACCTTAATCCCCTTGGCCATGAGTTCCTCGCAGATCAAATTGTTGGGCAATTTGCGTTGCGAGTGGACAAAGGACATGAGACGTCTGAGTTAGATANGTAGGGGGTGGGGTGGATAAAAAAAGGAAGTCATGGAGTCATATTTAGGGTCATTTGGAGCGGACGAAAAACGCAGCAGAAAACGAGAAGGAAAAAATGAAGGTGCTTGCCCAGTAGAACAAATGACGATTCAAGCTTCGGTTGAATGGCTAAAACCCCATTCCACTTTTATGTTAGGGATAACAAAGTGACTTATTGGGTTTGTGAAACATGACGATATAGTGTCTGCGAATTTACAATAGAATAACCCTTCAATCTCTCATGATGACTTGTGTACACCAAGATCACTTCGCATTATGGCTCTGTTGGAAGCTATGATGTGAAAGGGATACAATACCTATTTATTCAATAACGATCGAGTACGTGCGATGGAATTTATTGTGCTGCCATGGGGAAGGTACATTAAAACGGCTGTCTCAGATACCATGTTTGTTGCGTGTGTTTGATAAATCAAACTTACTTTGGTAGTGAGCGACATTTTCATGAATGAATCCATGGTGAACATTTGGAATATGGTACAAAGAGGCATCCCCAGTACCACTCAACTTTTTTTCTTTCTACAGCCGAGTGCTCTCCGTAGGATAACAGGGCAATGGCTATAACCGTAAATAATGGTGGCCCAGATGCGCACAGTCGCAATGTTTAATACAAACATCCGTGTCTTTTGGTTCAGAGGGTTCCATTGTCAGGCGAAAATCTACCAAATACTCGGCATGCCCAGTTTACAGATCTATAGGCAGCCTATCATGTGAAATTTTCAGGATAGGCCGAGATTCTCTGACTGCATACAAATCATCCCCACTATTGAGTGTATTTTGTCTATACAGTCGCATCGGATGCCTAAGGAGAAGTCAACTACTAAACAACAACAGTAATTGATAGATACTAAAGCATAATCTAAATTTTATTACCTGCCACTTTCAGATGCGTCTCCGATAGGCAATCAAACCATTTTGTCGGGAAACTTAAGACTTCAACATTCCACCGCGCCTTCATAGTTCGTAAAATGCTTGATACACAGTTTCCATGACCAGAACTAAGTCTCACTAAACCAGTGGATTCACCAAAATTCTTGGAATCATCACCGCTCAGTACGAGTAAACGCATTGGTACATCCTTCCACCATTAGCTCATCACCGGCAAAATCTATTCAGATTGGTGTGGGTATCCTATCTCCTTCTATTAACGCAAACTCGAACTACATTTTCTAGCCTTCCCTGGAAGGACATGAGATCCAATATGTAATGACTGGCAACCGCCCGATTTTCTCAAATACGTTACCAGGCAAGACACAGACTAAGCAAGCCTGCTATGGTAGCTAAGTGGAAATGTTGCATATACAGACGAAAAGTAGAACCAGTTAGGGTGCAGGGCACAATACGCTACAAAGGTACGTTGTGAACTCAAATTGCCATTTGTATCAAAAGAACAAATTTGAAAGTACAGAGCACTCCACTTACCCATAAGCTTCGTCAAACTCGGTAGTTGGATAACCTAGACAGTGTAAGAGTCGACAGCCGGAAAGTCGTCCAACCGATTCCAACCACTCTGTCGGTTCGGGTTGTTCAAATATATAATCCAACGCTTGGCGAAGGCAGTGCAGTTTAGCTAAGTATTCAACATCCCGTTGACAACCAACCAATTGCGTTCGCAAAGATCTGGAATGACGAGGTGCATAAGCACACAGAACGTATGCGGAACGGTAGTTCAATATACGCGGGGCCATAGAAAAAATTACGATTTGCTACTCCTATAAGAAACAAAGCCCACCAACAAGCGAGCTGGTAACACTTATCGTTGACAACAAAAGAAATGGACAGTATAACAAATCGAACCAAACCTAGACCTTTGCATTATGAATTCACTTCAATCTGGAAAAATAGAACAAATATCGAACAGGTCAATCAGAATAATTGTTTAGTATGCGGGAGGATGTTTTGATTACATAACGAACAGAAGAAATAGGTTAAACGTCTTAGTTACGAGAACCCGAAGTCCAACCATGAAAACCGGCCATTTGAGCGAAGGGACTTGGTGTGGCGAACCAATAGGGCAAACATTGCATAGACCCAGACGATAGTGAAACAACCGACCATCAAAGTTAGGGTTCGGACCTCAGACCTTGAGGATCTAAGCAGACCAGTGACTGCGCATACCTGACGACCACAAGCAAGATGTGTTTCAAAAGACAAGCATCCGAAGTTGATTGTACTTGAAAATGAAAGAGATTAAAGGAATCAATAGGATTATCGCTGCATAGAAAATCTACGAGAAATCCCTGTTATCAGTATGTGATAAGATGATAAAGATGAAAAAGTCGATATCCTCAAAAGTCTGTGAGTGGTGTGTGTCTATTCCCATAACGGTGGCTCCACACGGGGCTCTCTCAGCTCAAACAATGTGCATTTTCGTATTGGAACAAACCAAATGTTGTGTCAGATATCGCACTATAGCGAGGTAGTTGACCAGGATACTTGAAGCTCAAATTGCGAAATTACTTTGATCCGGTCAATGGGACCCATCAACGGAGCTGATAAGTAGGTGCTCCACTGGTCGTCACCTTAATGTTAACCAATGTTTGGCTGTGTATTCATTAGAGTTTGATGGACGGGTACTGCCAGGGTGTCCAGCCACTAAGCAGGAGAACGATTAAGGTTCTCGTCCAAAGCCTTTAGTTCCGACAAGAACCGCAAGGACCGCAAGGCAGCGGATGAAGCGAAGTAGAGGCCCACTTACTTGGATCAATTACTCTTCTACCATTTTACCGACTGAGACGCTAACTCGAGTCGAACTCTCAACCCGGACGACCAGGAGACTGAACTTCGTCTGATCTCTACCCATTGACCTTCCAGGCATGATTAGATCTTCGGCTTGATAAAAGCCATCAAACCACGTTAAGGTGCAGTCTCGTCGTGATGGGGACTCACCCGTTGCCAAGGTAAATAGCTAGAAAATCATACACAAACTTAGACTTCATCAACTGACAACACGGCTGTAATATTTGACTTCAGTGTACCATACTTAACTGGCAATAAGCTAGTTAAATACTTGATCACTGACTCAGTGATGAGCGTATTTTTTTTCTTTGGTCTTTCGTTTGACAGCGATCATTAGGCACCGTGTAGCAGCACTGGCCGAACTGCTGCAGCATACACTCGGCCCTTTGCGGACAGCCGGATGTCGCGAACGCGCCACAGATGTTGGCAAATACCAAACGAGCCTTCTGTATTCGTGCCGACACTGCATCTGTGATGCGTCCACCAGGTGAGATACAGCTGCCCAGATAGCAAAACCTTTGTACCTCATCCACTAATACCCCAGTCAGGGTGCGGTTCGGGTCTGAGCGAACCCAATCTTGTTGCAACATTTTACACTTTGAAGGTGAAAATCGCATACCAAACATAGAGACACTAGCACTCAAACTACCCAGAAAATCGATGTCACTATCCTCGCACGAGGATAGGGTTGTTTCAAAAATTAAATTCATGACAAAGTTAATTAGAAATGGAGAGTGATAGACAGGACAGCCCTGGCGAACACCACTTTATGTGATGAACTCAGGCGAAATGGTGTAAGCTCGGACTCGACATCGGCTGTTAGTGTAGGGTAATATAATATTGAAATAAACTTCTTAGAGAGAGACAGCGCCACAGTTTGGAGCGGTCGACTGAGTCGAAAGCTGCTTTCAGATCGAGGAAGATAGAAATGATCGGTCTACGAAAGGAGTGTATGCGTTCTAGCGTTTGACGAAGAGTGAAGAAGTGGTCGTGGGGAGGACTGTGAAACCTGGGTCTGATATTCAAATCTTCTTATATGGCAGATTTAAAGAATTGTTTCGTGTAGTCTGAAGGCCTCTCCATAGGTGAGGGATAAACATATGTTAAACAATCATAATTTCAGGTGTGATCCGTCAGCTCACTTGTTGGAGCAAAGCATACGCATTTGCGTAAGCGGATCTATTTTTTGGTTCCAAATCCACCGGCTTCTGATCTTCTCGGGAAGGGATTATATGAAAACAACTTACCAGTGAAAAGTATCTAAGTTTTATTTCAGGAACACTGGCATGGCAAAGTGCGACGAGTCGTTCGAGATTTAAACTATCAAAACTGTTTCTTGGTGTTCTGGCAGGATTCTGCGTTGAAAAGATTGCGTACGAATGACGGTGTATTCCATGCTCACACATTCTTGGTGGTATCAAAAGAAACTTCAACTAAATGGTCAGTTGCGTACTCTTAAATTTGATGCGGATAACTCGAATTTTAGAGTTGCCCAAAATACCTTTTAAGTGAACCATTGTCACGGTATTTTACTTCACATCACCGTAACTCAACGTTTACAGTTAGAAACAAAATGCGGTCCGCCTATTCCCTCGCTAGAAAAAGCTAGACTACAGAGCGAGAGGTAATGAATTTTAAATAAAGGCGGTACTTAGACTATATTAGTAAGAAATCATTAATCTTCAACTCGTGAAAGTAGAAAATTGCATGGGTACGGAGGCCTCATAGGTATATTAGAATAAGAGATCAATTCGAAAAACTTCAATGTCATATTTCGGATTTTATGATATGATTAAAGATGATATAAAAAAATATGACTAAAATAATTGCGGGGAATGGGTACTGGTAACTTGACATACCGATAGGGGATTTCTCCAGTATCCAATAATTTTAGAGCCTCGAGATACAGTGGTCGACTGCAGTTTTGTGAAATCAACAGTTCGATCTCCGTCAAATCAATGTGTTCCAGCGCTGAAAAATAGGAACAGGTTTCCTCGTCTGAGACAACCTCAGTTTCAATAGATTCGGGTAGATAATCCTGATCTTGCAA